TGACTTTTATCCTTTGTAAGGGTCTAATTGAGAGTCTGGTTGCCACTTCAAGATTTTGTATTCTTAATTGGTGTTGTTGAATGTAAATATCTTATTCGACCTGTTATCTTGGGAAAGCTAGGTTTTTACCACACATGGCGACAGCCCAGTGGATTGGAAGGAGCTTTCCAAGCAAGTATGCCACCAATTTCCTAACCCTGGTAGGGTAGGGGTTTGCTTCTGTGGATCAGAGTCGAACGTGGAGTACATAGTAAGGAGCCTTTTATGTAATAAATTTGACAAAAATATGTAAATGGTCGGTACGAGGTTGGAAAGCCTATGTTTCCTTGAAGGGTTTAGCTCCCTTGTTTATATTAGTGCTTCCGCAATGACAACGAACAGCGTGCGATAATCACACAGCTCGATTTTCACCGTGCAAAAGTGTGAAAAATTTTCTTCTGTTAAGAATGAGAAAAACCCTCCTAATCGAAATATCCCGCAATGACTTTTATCACCCGCTTATTGCTCGATCTATTAAGAAATTTGTGATTTTCCCAACCGACTAGTCTGTTTTATGCAATTTGTTGCCCAGTTGTCTCAGGGGGTAGAGAGAATATAAGCAAGTATATATACTTTAATATATATATATTTATATAAGGCGCGTGTGGCCCAATGGTCGGAGGCGCCACTGCGACACACACGTGAAATCGATCCCCGCGCCCATGGCCCACCAAGTCTTCCATATCTCCGGAGTCGGCAAATTGGTACCAGATTGGTCTCGGAGGGTAGCAGCACCGGCTCGATACATTAGTAGGCCACCGCGAGTCCTTGTAAAGGCCAGATATGCACTCAATCTCCTCTAGACGATGCTTAATGAAATCGAATGCTTGGTGCATCCCTCAGAGATTGACCAACGCCGAGAGCTTTATCCTTTTTTATATGTTTATACATGCATATAATTTTAAGTGTAGAGAGTAAAGATCACACTCTGTTGCTCACTGTCGATGTGAAGTGATAAACTGAAGACTCCAGTAGCGAACAGAAAACTGCCAATTTCGTAGAAACCTACTTTTTTTCTACGAAACCACTTTTCATTTGCTGAAGAACTTCTACAGTGGTTTTTCTGCGTTTATTGGAATTCACGGTCAGAAAACAAGAATCTTGGGAGGCTCCGCTGAGGCAGTGTTTTATTCTCGAGCATACACGAGGATGGGAATAACAAGATTTGTTCATTAATGGTCGACGTCTCGACGGTTTCCCCGTCTTCGCAGCGTTTAAAGTCAAATTTGACAGGCTACTACCCACTAAAGCTATTCAATAACCCAGATAGAAAATCTTTTTTCTCCTATGATTTTTTCCTTTTTAAGATTTTTCTGTTGAGGTTATGAAAAGTATTTCGCAACATACACTGCCATTAAAAAGAATAGGCAGTAAATAATAAGTTAAAATTGTGATTATAGCTACAGCCTCAGCTTTGTTGGGTTCATTGTTGATTCGGGCTCTCCAGATCAATCCCTCTAATGGATGATTGTTGGTGGCACCGATCGATAGAACTGGCTGAGAGACAGAAGCGAAAGACCCGCATGGTGTGGTCGTTAACGCGTTAGCAGCCAGAAAGGATAACAGCGCGTTCGTTTCCCATCGCAAACACCTGCGGTCCGGAGTTTTGCAACTATGTCGGTATTATTAAAGTTTTATTTCGCAACATACGCTGCCATTAAATAGAGCGGGCAGTAAATAATAAGTTTAAAAAGTTACGAAAAGTGTCTGACTGAGAATTTGAACTCCCCAAGCTGTGAAGAAAGCAAACTGTGAAACGGCAGCCATTGTTGAATAGATCTTGTTATTGACAATCTCGTGTCTACTCAAGAACGAATTAGTCACTTGTTGAACAATTCCGAGGTCAACAGAAAGTCGATCTTCGGAATTGTTATGTGATTTTCCTGTGAGCATTTTCACACTCCTGGAAGTCATAATGGTAGAAAATCCTGTTACGATTACTTTGATGAGATCAGATGATGATTAGTCGATATTTGCGAACGTTTTAAGGACATTAATCAATTGGAGGACATTCTGAAGACACTGAGATCGGAGCGCGAGACGAAACGCGCACGGCTGACGCGTCAAATGGACGAATTGCGCGTCGCGGTGAACCAGGCGAACGAAAGCATAAGGGTGAGCAACAACGGCTACCACTTCGACAATCTCTCAGTTTTTCTAAGTTGCAAATTTTGCGAAACGCCTTCTCCTAAGTAGTTTAAACTCTTTTTGAATATACATTCTTCCATTCATGAGCTAACACGAGGTTGATAAATAGACTTTGGTCAGATAAAGTTTCGACCTCGTTGTCTTCCTCAGAGCCAATGAACGAACTCGACGTCCAAAGTCGGTCGCTTTGTTGATGTGGTGCCTTCATCGTTGTATCGAGTCCAATATTCTTCAGTGCAGCACGAATAAGCGAGGCAGCCTCACCAAATTTCAATTTCATAGTCTCTCGGCCCAGAGATGGAACTCTCAGTGTTTCCAGAAAAGCGACGGAGAAATTATCATTATTCCGTTCTCCTCGAAAGGTAAATCCACCTGGTTCCATATAAAATTGGTGAGGTTGGATAAGGCTGCCTTCCTAACGAATCTTTCTTCCGAAGTAGGTTAACGCTCAAAGGTCGGAGACGTTGTCGGGTACACTATGCATTTGGTTCACCGAACGCGTGAAACTTTTTAAGGTAAACAAGTGGGCAAGCGCCATTATCTGATGGTCCCATGGGATGTTAAGCGCGCAGCAAAAAGCTACCGAGAAGATGGTTAGAACTCTTTGTGAATGTTCTAAAAAAATATGATGATGATAGAGATCCTGGAGAAAAGAGAAACCATTGGATATACAAAGGAACAAATGAAGACTGTTGTTTCAGCTTCACGACTAACGGTGAGATACTGCGGTAAGTGATACATCCGTAGAAATTAATAAATTTTTCTTATACACAGACGCCGCATTTCCTGCAGTCCATTCGCTAGCTTGCATCTATCATGCACGAAGGTTTTCGAACCCTTCGCGTATGGGATCAGGTATTACTTAAGGATTGTCGTCTTCTTTATGAATGCCGTTTCTCCCTGAAGTTCTGAAACAGTCTGGCTAGAAATCCCGCACTTAACTTTTAAACAAAGAGCTGTTTTCAACTGAGTAGGATAAGTCTGGTACCATTTTACTTGCCTTGGAGAAGTGATAAGCTTGGTGAACTCAACATGGGGTCGAACTAGGACTGTGCTCGTGGTGAACGGCATCACTACCACTGTGCTGACCATTTCTTCCATATTAATAGCTCTCTATCTTCGTCTAATTTTAGAGTTTATAGATAAAGAGTTTTCCAGTTTTTCAAAAGAACCCATCACGAATTTCCTTTTCAGCATAAACGCCAGCATAATTTGCTACTGGAAAAATCAGTAATTGCAGTTCTTCTCTCACTCCCGCGAAATTCTTCTCACTAATCAGATACTGAAATTTACTAGGCCTATTTTTAAAAAACCTCCGACCTTCTTATCTTTAAAAAAAGCTATATTCAGGCCGCTGACATTTCTACCGTAACATTAGAGGAATCCAACGACATACCAAAGGAGTTACTAGAGGGGTTTGTTCCTTTCTTTTACGTTAACTCACAACGAACGATAAAAAATCTCTTGTGTCGTTCAGAATATTTGTGCCATGTCCAAGTAGACATCCTGTCACATCGTTTTCATTCCTCAACTCTCACTTTCCATTTCTCTCCCCACTAACGATGACTTCGAACGTCAAAACACTCATGCAGGATGTGAATAAAATGAAGGTTGCCTTCACTTGTTTTTAATTTCCATAAAATTTTCGCCAAAAAGAATATGATCGAATCATTGAACCACTGCTACAAATGCTTTACTTATTTATTTCTTATTCATGTGATTCGAATTCGTACATTGCGTGGCTCCCTTCACTTCTGCAGTTGTGTTCGTTGCCTGATATCCTTCTTCCAAGACGGTCTTCGGACTTAGCAACCTTGTGGTTGCATCTCACATAATGCCCTGCCGTGAGAAATTGCAGTAGGCAGTAAATAAAAAGTCAACATTGCTATTTTGACTACAGCCTCAGTTTAGCTGGGCTCAATGCCGATTGTGCTCCTCAGATTAATCCCATTGACGGATGATTGCTGATGGTGCCGTTAGGTACAAAGCTAGTTGAGGGTAAAGCAAAGCAAGGGTCTCAGTGTTGCCGTGTTTAACAAACGAGCCATCGGAAAGGGTAATCGTGGTTCAGTCTGGCCTGGAGTACAAGTTTTCCGCATATCTCAATATCACTGTGGTTGCATTTCACTGTGATGTGATGTGATACACTGTGATGAAAAAATACAGTAGGCAGTAAATGAAAGGTCTTCATACCTTTTGTGTACAATTGGCCATCAAGATACTTTGTCGTCTTCATAAATGTGGTAGAATATTAGTCAAGTTAATTCTACCTCATAGTCTTAAAACGCTTAGACCGTTCCTACATCTTCGCCAAAGTGGCTTCGTTTGATCTAAAGAAGGCTCTTCAGCCAAATTTGGCACTAATTTCCCGACTCCTGAGAGACGGAAGGTTTAGTTGACCCTGACGGACTCGATACCAATGGATACATTGCGTGTATTGCACTGTATCCTCAGACGCTAATTCGTTCCCAATGATTTAAACGGGTGAAGGATAAAGGATAAAGCTCTCGACATTGCTCTGTCGTTGAGGAATACGCGATGCATTCAACTTTACTAAGTAGCGTCGGAGGTGATTGAATGCATAATTGGCCTTTAAAACGGCTCGCGGTGGCCTACCGTTGTATCGAGCCAGTGCTGCTCTTCTCTCAGACAAGTCTAGTACCAATTTGCCGACCCTGGAGGGATGGTAGGCTTGGTGGGCCACGGGCGCGGGGATTAATTCCACGTATGTGTTGCCACACGCGCCCCCTCCGAATAATTTAGAGTGAAGTAAACATGAAAAAGTATTAAATTAAACATTCACAGTGTTCTAGACATGCGATAGTTGTGGAGCACAAATTCATCGCAATGCCCCTACATGTCCAATGTGCAAGATGCGAAGTCGCAGTAAAAATCCGAAGAGGTGCAGAAAGAAAGGCGAGTGAAGTCGTCTCAGCTTCTATGACTTATTCATTCCAGCGATATCCTTTGCTGATTTAGAAGGTAAACGATGAAGTACGATTGTTTGAAATAAAAAATTCGTCTTTCAGTTGATTTTTCTTTCGTTGGTCGACGTTGGTTAGATGAAATGTGAAATGTGCCACGAGAGTTCTTGTTGTTCAGCGTAGAGTCCCAGCAGTAAGACGAAAAATTCTTATTCACAGTAAGTGCGTGAGCGACAGCCTTGGCGTCTGACAAAAATGAGAGTTTAAATCGTATGTCAAATCGAAAGAGCTAGGTTTGATCAATTATTTTTTAGTTGTAGGAGGAAAGAAAACGTCTGAGATGATAGAATCAAGCTGGCAGTAGCATAGTAAACGAGCTTGCATCCTTGAGCCGTTGCAGGAACCCATTTGGAATGAATGAATACCAGAAGTATTTCGCTGTTTTCTTGATGTGCATAGACGAAGCTGTTATACAATTCTCTGATGACAAACAAGTTGACGTTTTGGCGGTTTCGCCTTCTTCAGAGCCAGGAAAGGGCCAACTGACATACAGTTTACTCCACTAAACACTTTCGTAACCCCAGTAGACAAAACGTAACACATAAGTTCCCATTTGCATAGTAAACAACTTCTCTCAAACAACCACCTTTCTGTTCTTTGCCTTCCATTTCTACTGAGCTTTTGAAAGTGTTTCGCTGAGTAGATTACATATCAATTCAACCTTTCCAGATTCTGAGAAAGACGAAATCCGGCTAAACGTCACCTTGTTTGTCAATAAAGAACAGGACAACAACTTCGTATTTGCTTGTCAATAACAGAGTGAATTGTTTGATCAATGACGAGGTTAAGAGAAAGTCGGTTTTGGGAATTACTGGAAATACTATCAATGAAAGTTTAGGAATCGATAAGCGGAAGACTATTAACCCATAAAATGTAGTTTCTGGATAATGACTCCAATCTGAAAAAAGTATATTAGAACGTTAAAGAGTTATCTGGGTTTGGGCGATTTGAAGTAATCTCTCTCTAGGCCGTTTCTGCAAAAGAAACCAACTCTGTTTAATGTTCAGTATCACTTTTGCTACCTTTATCAGCTTTACGTTACGTTGATCATAGAGTGGCATGAGCAGGCGTCGGTAGTATTTCCACTTTTCCCTGTAGTGTGCAAGAGTAGCCCGGTGGGTCCTGCTCGCTCTAGCGACTCGTCCAGCATCATACCTTTTTTCTAGGGTTTCCGCGAACAATTCGGACTATCGAGTCTGTGATCTTTATGGTGTGTGGTTGACATCTTGAAGAATTCAGTCGCTGACGGCTCTTGCTCCTCGGTTTTCGTTCGTAGACACCATCGTTCGAGCCCACTTTATTTTCAACATTTTGGTGTGCACAGTGGCGTCTCTGTTGTTTCACTGTTGACGTAGATCGGAACTCCATTTCCATCTCTCATTTGCTTGATATGGGACACACCAAGCATCGCCACCTCGACTGCGCCATTCATAGCGCTGAGTGATTTTCCGCCCTGCTTACAAGGTCACCAAGTTTCTGACACATGCATTAAGACTAGGAGAACAGTGTGGTGAAAAGCGTGGGAAGAAATTTGTGTGCTGTTATTACTTTCTTTAACTTTTCCTCTTTTTTTCACGAAAAATAAAATCTTGTGCGAAAGAGATGGTGATCTGATTCCGTGCAAAGTGCTCGACCAACTGCGACACTCATTATTCGGAACGTTCGCTTTACTATGATGTGGCCTATTTCAATATGATTCCCTCTGTTGAGAAGTTACCATGTGTAGCAATACGTGTAAAGCTTTTGGAACTGTGAGATACCTTGGATGGTATGCTTATTATAATAAACTAAGGCAGCCGCTCACCCTTCTCTTTCCAATTTAATTGGTGGCTTCCTATCCGACGTTCGTGAGTCGTTGTTCTGGGCCCATTCTTAAAGTTGAAATCGCCAGTGAAAGTCTTAACGAACGTATGCAGAACTTCCCAAAGTCCACATGGAAGGCTACGTCCTCGTCTTCGCCATAAAATGAGGTGATTGCGTAAACGATGAAGATTGTTAAAGCCGGTATTGACTCACATCTCTTCAACAGCAAGCGACCGACTCAAGTTGTTAGTTGTAGGAAGGAATCGATGTTCATGGACAAAGTGGTGTTGAGGAGGACGCCTGCGCACCGACTTTTCTAGTATCACATACTGTGAGGAACTGTTCTTCTCCATTATCATAGACGGCATTAAACAGGCAACTTCTCGTTTCGGCCAGTCTGATGATATTTTACGTTATCCTTTTATCATGCACCATTAGCTCCTCAGTAGAGGGTTCCTAAGCAGATACGTCGTAGGTATAGGTCTTCCTTCCGCCTTCCAGATTTAAGTAGCTTAGAATTTCTCTGAAGTTTTCGCAGCATTTCCGCACCTGTGTTAGTCATCGTTTCTGTATCAGGAATCTTTTTGGTGTTACAAGAATAAGAACCATTTACTTCGTTGAATTCGGCTTTTAATATCTACACCTAGCTTGCCGAGATCTCACCATGGGGCGCGATCTCATCTTAGATTCTCGGGTAACCTGTAATCTCTCCTAGAGTAAACGTGAAACTCGTTTGTTGGAACCTCCTTCTTACCACTTCCCGTGTACGTTTCTCTCACTTGTTTGTAGACTTTTTGGTTGAAATAACTTGTGGAATAGTGTCCAAAACCCATAGACACATGCATGAACACATCTGCGTAAACACAGAAGGCATTTGTAAAATAGACAAGCAAAAGCAGAAAGATTGCTCACTGGATCCACCCGGGCCTCAGAAAAGCAGAAAGTCACATTTTGTTTTTTTTTTGATCTTTTATCCGCCCTGGAAGTGTGCCAAATAACTTTGCGATCAACCAGCTGGGAGTGACTCAGTGAAGGGAATGCTCATTGTAAGGGATAGCATTACTTCTCACAGATCACCGTAAAGTTAAGGCAGGTTTGAGGTAAAAGATAAGGTGTGATAAACAAGGAGGGGTTTATTCTTTATGCATATATTGGCTTAACATCTATCCCTTCTGTCACTCTTGATGCTCGTTTTCGTTCCTACACCGTGTGGTGGGTAAATTAGATATAAATCGATGAGAAATTGGAATCACAAAGGACGAATTTCTAGATGCCCATATGATCGCTCATCGATAACTCCAAGAATATGCTTTGCTGCACAAATGGTTGCTTTTGCGGGCCAACCGCGCCCACTACCGTGCCCAGGTGGGCAAATTGGTAGCAAGCTTGCTTAGGAGACAAAACACCAGATTCATCCATCAGTAATTATTCAAAACTTACTGTATAGGTCAAGCATTCACCCATTCATTGACTTCTTCAATACTTAATGAATAGCAATACATGGTGACTTCCTAAGCAATTGATCAACACGAAAAGCTTAAGTTTTATCCGTTATATGGATTAATTTTAGGCATTCAACGTACAAACTGCCTTTATGGCGAGAACTGTGGTGTAGCGAAGACGAAGTGTACACTAAACCTTAAACGCTCTTAATTAAACCTTGTATGGATCAAAGCTATAGATGGAAGCAGGCGCGGTGAAGTGCGATAGGGAATGATTTGAGAGGCCAATAGCAACATTCGGCGATGGAGAGCGGGGGAACTCAAGACCTACACAAGATCTTATGGCGATCAAGATCGTATCAAAGTGCTTGCCATCGACTGACCCTTTGACGCCGTAGCACGACTATCTCAGAGATGCAGAGATGGTTACAATCAACCAGTTCTTGACATTCTAATAAACGATATTACCCATACTTCCGGCGAATGCATATAGGACTCAAATCACCTTTGTGTATGAGGAAAGCAATAGAATAAAACGAATGGAAAATTTGATAGAGCTTTCACGAAATGTTAGAATAGATTGTCCAGACATCCGTCCAAACTCCATATGGTACAATGAAGAAACCATATTTGAGATATGTATTGATGCTCAGAAAAGAAAGTGAAAAAATCAGTCACTAAAAGACATTTCATACAGGTAAAAGTGCATGGGACGTTTTTGTTAGTATCGAATAGCAGAAAGGCCAGCATTGTCGGTGTATTGAGAATGTCGACGAGAACGAGAATAAATGGTCACTAAGGGTTAACGCAGATGATGAGGGCTACAACTGTACGATTTCACTAAGTCACAATCTTTACTGGGAATTTCTCCTACTGCCGGTGAAATTTAGACGTTAACCACTTGTAACCTCATTTGACATGAGAATACTTAGTTGAACAATGTGCACCAGCGCAAATCATCACTACAAGGAATTTATGGCGATTTCCATTGCAAAATCTCATCTTCTCTCAAAGTGCTCTCCTTTCTTTGTAGAGATAAAACATCTGTGATCCATCAGTCCCGTGACCATGCGATATTGCGGGAAGTAGTTCATACCTTCCTCTTTTGCCTGAAATCAAAGTAGACAGAAGTGCAAGGATTGATGCTTGACTTCTTTGCTTTGTTAAAAAATTTTTCTAAGCAAACTTTTTTTCTTGTAGACTGTTTTTGTTTGGAAGCTTACGTCAAATTTTAATCGATTTCCTTCCAATCCTATGATGTTGTGTGAGTGTGGGAGTCGGTCTCCAAGAGAATGACGAAATACCGGAATCCTTATTGTGACAGTAACAAAGCATACATTTCATAATTTTCTGGAAAATAAATAATTGAACGATTATAGTAATTTGGGTGGAAAGGAAATTTTTTCAAACTTTACAAATATTTTCGTCGTTTAGAAAAACGTAATTTCTAAAGACTTTTTGTAGCTTCTACTCGTTTTCACTTGTTAGAGAACGCTTTCAAGCAGTCATCATGCCATCAATTTCAACCGTCAATTTCATGCCAATTCCGCGCTTCGGAGTCGGTTGTTGTTGTTGCTGTTTTATGTGTGTGCGTGCGTGCGTGTGCATGTATGTATGTATGTATGTATGTATGTATGTATGCATGTATGCATGTATGTATATATTTATCTATTTATCTATGTATGTAATGTTTCTTAAAAGAATCAAAGAATAGAAAGAAGTAGTCTGCAGTTGATAATTCGTAAAAGTG